TGTGAGCACTTTGATTGCAGGGGACAGTGTAGCAGCATGTGGCATCATAACCTAAGAGCAGGCAAATCAGCTTGATGACTTTCAAAGCCAAGAATACTGCTGGAGGCAAGGGTACTCCAGTCTAGAAGAAATTAAAACATATAGAGACTGTTATTAATTCCAGATCTATTTTTGTGTAGTCAAATCTGTATGCAAATCCTTAGCATCTCATTTTGGCAGATTAATCTAAAAGTGAAGAGCGGTATGTGAAGGGAATGTAATGATAAAACACCACAGATGAGCAATATTGCAGGGGAAAAAATGTAAGCTGTGTACTTGATATGAGGGGCTCTTTGTGAAGAGAGGCAAATAATTTTGCTTATTTGATTATTTCATTATTTTATAAGGAAGCAACCCCCTTCTTTCTCTTCTTCCTCCACATATTTCCCCCCAAAGTAAGGTGTTCTTTCTGAATGGAAATACAAGACCCAGCGTTGTGTTTCCAATGCATCTCCTGTAGTTTAACATTCTGGAGGTAATCATCCAAATAACTATGATTTTTATTTTTCAAAATACTAATCTGACACCTCGTTTTTAAACATTACGCTAGGAGTGAAAATAACTACATAAAAGAAAATCAAGTTACAAAACAGATAGTAGAAAAGATTGTTTTGTGCATGTGGCTGATGGCCACTAACACTGTGACGGCTGCACAACAGTGTAGAGACAAATAACAGATTGTGAGATTAGATACGGGAACAGTCATTGCTTTCCAATGCGTGTTCTTGCGTGTGTACTTCACAGGTGCTGTGATGGGCAGTGCGTGGCATAGTGTGATGGAAACAGTTTGGAAAGACTACATCTCATCTCGGCTGTCTTGTAGCCTGTAAGCATCTCTGAGCTGGGAGCTTGTGCTATCGTCCATGTGTAGGGGCCCCGGTACAGGCTGGTACTTGCAGAGGTGCGCCCAAATAACAGCCTTATTCCTCCCTGCTACTGCGGTTGAAGACAAGATTCTTGAATAGATTTGTCTGTAGTTTCTGCTATTCATTGATGGGATTTTTGGCCTCACTCAAGTTATTTGAAGTGATCAGAGGGTACATCTATGTTAGCAAGTAGCTAAGCCCAGTAGGACAGATCAGCAGACAAAACCTTGGTGCCCAGTTCTCTATATCTACTCCATGTACAGTTCACATTTTTTGCTTTGCACTAGATTTATTTGGTCCTCTGGACCAAACATTCCCAGTGCTCAGCTGGTACAAAACCATCCGAAAGACCAGTTATTATTTCACACCCTTATGCCGGTTAGGAACTGGACCACAACTGGTGCACATCTGGAGTGGAGATTCTGGTTTAACATGAATGCACACCAGTACTGCCCTGCAGCCTGAAATGACGTGTGAGAGGTGGGGGAGTCGCTTCAAAATCACAGTATGGCTCTGAACCAAAATGCTGTGCTAGGTGCAGCTGGAGGCTGGCAAAATGAGGATTCTCCAGCACGGAGGCATGTTAAGAGTGGTTGGGGATAAAAGAAAAAACCCAATGTGCTCAGTAGGACTGGGCCATAGCTCAGCTGGCAAACTGCTCTGCCACTTCTCTGTCTGAAACAGGGGATGTCCTCGCAAAAAGCGAAGCATAAACAAATATAATGACAGATGAAATTCCTTCCTCTCATTGCTGTGGATTTTGTCCGTCATTGGCACATGCTGTTAAAACTGTAATATAAAAAGTTTGTCTGTCAATATGAGTTTCAGTGGTGCGTGGCCGCTGGTGTGCCCTAGTTAAGTCCAGACCTTCTGGTAGGATGAAAAGCGAAGTGCAGCTTGCAGGCGTTATTTCTGGTCCCATCTTCCCATGGGCCCAGGGTGGTGACAGAGGGGGGACTGGGACCTGTGGCAGTGCTGCAGTGACACCACGTCCCCAGGAGGCTTGAGCACACTCAAGAATGTGTTTACGCTGGTAGGATTACAGACTTAAGACTGGAGAATTTTTCCACCAGTTTACTCAGTGAGATTTGCCATTTAAATCCAATAGAGTACAGGATGATCAGGGATTAAACATCTACTGTGTTGAGGTAAATAGTTGGTTTGCAGCATCTACTTGGATCAGGCTCTATTCCAGGCTTTTCTGAGGTGCTTTATACCTTGCTTTCCAAACATTATTGAAAGGTACATATGCTAAATGGTAGTGTTGTTTCTGGTCACTATGGAGGAACCTCCCAACATAAGTCTACAACTAAACCAGGAGATGTTCTCTCTGTAATACAGACTAAATACAGAATTTCCTTCAAGTATATAGGTGAGTGCAGTTGCACAGACAGGGTTGCGCTATGCTTTCCAGCTGACAGTGGTGTCCCACGTCATGCTCCTCGTTAGGCAGAGCTCCTCTCCGACCTCTTCCTTCTCTCTGATGCAAGCCCACCTCCTCCTCCTTTAAGCCATGTCACACACTGTGCGCTCCTTGGAACAGGGACGGGTTTTATCTTCATGTATTGACAATGGCTGGATGCACAGTCATTTATAAACAGATCAATTTTCGTCTTGTTTTTAGCCCATAGAATTAGCTTTACAAAGGAAGTGTGTGGGGGTGTGGGTGTGTTTCTTGTTGCTGTTTTGTGTTTCTAGATGTTTGACAAATGTGCTATTTCTTACCTTGTAACCGGATTAAAAAGTGCAGTGGAATGTAAGCCTAAGTGGTGGTATGCAATGTAATTATGTCAGCAAATGAACCCTAGAATTGGTTATTTTGCTGTACCTGATCTTGGTCCTGGTTTTGCTTATACAAAAAAATGTAACCTGTATAAACTCTTTCATAGGAGGAGTAACAAATACTGCACAGTATCAAAACAGGCTCATGGTCTATGATCCGAAGCAGGTGGGTATCTGTGTTGTATGTGTTTTTCTCATATGTTTTGCTTCAAACAGGTCTCTTAGCAAACATATCCAAAGATTTTGTAAGGCTAAAAATGCTGACCATTTGAATTAGCGGTGTTTTAAATTCACTTTGTAGTGATGTATGAGTTTAACAGAGTAACAGAGACCCTGACTCTTTATTATATTTTTTAAGCCTGTAGGTGTTAGAAACATCTAGATTAAATACAGACATGTGCTTTAAATCCCCTGTATTTATCAGTATTTATTTTGCTTGTTCATTTTTTGGTAATCCAGCAGCCCAGGGCAATGTATACTCAAAGTCAGTGTCACAAAACTGCTCCTTGTCATTGGCATTTCTGCTTTGAATTGCATATATGGGCTTTTTGTTTTCTGCATACTTTCAGAACTATACTACCTGGCCGTGACTTATTCTGCTGACTGCAAGGGTGCCTATCATTTCATTACCCAAGCACCTAAAATATCTTTTAGGGATTATTTCATACATTATGTATGTGTTTTGATTAGGTTAGCATGGCTCAGTAACCATTTCAGAGGGTTAGGGCACAGTTATGCCCTCTTGCTTGTATTAGGAATTAAAAGTCCTAAGCTTGCAATCAGAGTTGCATAGCCTGATTTACACCTGTGTGGAAGAATATCGACTTTGCTGATTGTAGGATAGGGGCTTTGATTGCTGTATTTGGAACCAAATTGTGTCAGGAGATACTTCTATGTGGTTCCCACTAACTTTTTAAAGTGTAGCACATATGGGTCCTGCAGCAGAAAGCAGGCAATGACGCACCTGCCTCTTTCTTTTCGAGGTACAGTTTTATGCGTCGATTGTACAAATCCTGATTCGGTCCTAAATCCAAGTAGTAATTACAGGCAGCAATCTTACTTTGCTTACGAGGGGGACACTGTTTCTCTGTTGTGTATCTTTCGCTTTGATTCTTTACTTGCTGACGTGAAAGTTGCACCCCAAAATACCAGTGGCAGGGCTACTTCAGCGTGCCCTGTTGATGGTGAGAAACCCGGCCTGGCGTGTAAAGAGTTACAGAGGAAGTGTGTGCTCGCATTCTTCAAATGAGGTCGGCTTCGTGTTTGTACACACAAGCTCTTTTTAAAAATTCTGCTGGCATATTGTTTACGGTGGGTACTGGAAACCATCACATCTGCTTGCATCTCGCACAGAATCTCAATAGCTCCATCATTCAGCACCAGCGCTTGCTTCTGCGCGAGGCCTTTGTGGCGAGTCGATAATGCCTGCCATCTGCCACAGAGCACACAGCTACCTGCCAACAAGCCGGCTGGGGTGACCTCTGCTTCCCCACCACTGATTAGTATTCACACGCTGGCTTATTAGAAATGACCCCACCAGGCCCCTCGGTTTCTTTGCCTTTGCAGTGCTTTGCGGCTCACCTGGCAGGCACTGCAGTGGAGGAAGCTAAAGATATAATCAGGGGATGCAGGCAGGCTTTGCAAAGCAGATGGTGTCTATAGTCTGGTGTTAAGAGACTGGACTACTAATGCAAACATTAATGCCTAATATTCAACTATTAGACGTTGAAATGTATAGCTATATATTGTGGAGGTTAAAAGGCAGTAGTATTAGAGGCTCTTGAGTTACCGCAAGCGGTAGCACGTGCAACACGAAGAATTTCCTCACTGATTTTAACTTCCTCCACTTAAATAAATTAATCTTATCCATTGCCAGGTTGTTTGATTTGGCAAACCTAGGAGAAGCAATTGTTTTCTTAGGTTTAAAATACTGTGCTTTAATCCCTCTTCTTCCGTGTCCTCTTGCCCCTCCCCTGAACAGGTAGAATTCTTGAGTGTTGTTAGCCAGGGTGAAAAATATGCAAAAGGATGTTACTTTGTAAGTGCCCGCAAATACAGGGTTAGCATTAAACCAAATACGTGAATCATTTGAGAAGATTCTTTAGGAAATTATTTTTCCCTGTTGCTTCATTCCCCAAGGATAAGATGAAATAAGCTTCTGAATAACAAAAGGTAGAAGAATCTCTCTTCTCTCATAACAGAGCTAGTTGGTATAGATAATTTTAGCGCTGTATACAAAGGAGACATCTAATAGTCTTGCTTAAGGAGAATTTGCTACTGAATTACAGAGAAGAAAAAAAGCTTTGAAACCTGATGAGCTAAACAGAAAAAATACAGAGCAAGAAATACTATTAAATCAATGAATTTAAATTTGAGAACTGTAAACCACGTGTTGAAAGTCCAGTATGTCTAGTCAGTGTTATAACCAACATGCATGTCTAACATATGAACAACACAAGTGTACGCACTTGTGATTTCTGGCCAAGGGTAAGGAGAACACTGCTAACATACTGCTATTATTGTACTACTAATATAGGTACGTCGTTGAGCAGTGCTGAGACAAGTTCTTTTTTCCTTTCCAGAATAAGTGGTTAAGCCGTAGCCCGATGTTGCAGAGGAGAGTGTATCACTCCATGGCTGCTGTCCAAAGGAAACTTTATGTGTTAGGTGGGAATGATCTGGATTACAACAATGATCGGATCCTGGTTCGGCACATAGACTCCTACAGCATAGATGCTGACCAATGGACGCGCTGCAGCTTCAACATGTTGACAGGCGAGTATTGTACACCAAAAGAGGAACCTTGCTACTATTAGAATAAAACATCAATTCTTTTCCCTTTAGAGGCCTTTATTATGTGGAACTCCATGACCTTGCCTCAATTGCCTCTGATTTAGGGGCCATCGTTGGCCAACAAGACACTTTTAATTACTGTTCTGGCATTCAGTGTTCTACAAAACATTTGTCTTAGGACATTGTAGGATAAATTTTTAAGAAGGTGCACATAAATGTAATTTAATTAAGCCGTCAAAAATTCCTTGTCGTAGTATTACCAGTACTTATTTTTGATTTTCCAAAAGCGTGCCTGCAGTGATAGATTTAGCTCCCTATGTGAGTGTTCACAGGCAGATCCATCTCTACCATGATATCATTTTGTAGTGCTTCCTGCTGGCATTATAGAGCATTGAACTCCATTAACCATCACTTACTTCTAAGCAATATCTTCTTAATAAATTACCCGAAAGGAGGTGTCTTTGTTGGAATTCTGTCAAGTCAGGGATGACTTGAGTATCTCGATTAGCTATGGATCTGTTAAGTTCCTCCTGACCGTCATTAGGAGGAACTGTTACAGTAGCAACTTGCGGAGCGCTGCGACTCACTGTCCCTGCCACCTAGTCCACCAGATTTCACTGCCACTTGATACAATTCCCAGATGTACTACTCCCTCAAATCCCTGGGAGAGACAGGCGCCTGACACGTTCTCAGAGTAGCACCACCAGCAGCTTTGCAGAAGAGGATGCATTTCCAGGACAGCATTAATGTTGGGGCCATTCTCTTGTGCAGCAGACTTGGAGCTCAACTAGCAACAGTATTGGCTGCCAAGAAGTTTCAGCATAGACTGCGACAGGAGTCGTAGAACTGAACCTACCTCACTTTTCATCCTCTTCCGTTTGGCGTTGCATTCATTTCTGAGATCTACCACTGAAAAGGATACAAAGGATGTAGGAGCTTAACTAGCTCAGGATAGCTAGAAACACCGTGTCAGAGAAATGAACGTCTGACAAATAACAGTCACCTTATGTCATTTTCTTCCTGGTAGGTTTAAAAGCTGCTCTAGTGACAACTTTGTTCTTTAAGATATTGCATTGGATTTCTTAATCTCTGGGATCTGGGGAAGGGTTGCTTGGTTTCTGAGTCAGGTCATCACAGTAGTTCATGGACATTGAGGAGAGAGGCATGGATTAAAAAGGAAGAGTAACAGACTGTCAAACAGAACTAGTTTTTCATATCCCTTTTGCTCTCTATTTAATTGTTTTATTGTATTATCTGGAGGAATTGACAGCCTTTGAGAAGGACATAATCTGACTTGCAACAGCAAAAGCGCTGGCACTGCAGGCACCTCTGTTCTGGAGCTGACCCTATACCACTAAATGCTGTGAGATAGTAGCCTCTCCTCAGATATGACCCGGTGGGTTGCTTCCACAGCCTGCACCTTGAGAAGCCATCTAAGCCTTTCTTTGCATCTCTGCAACTGGTGGTAAATGTGCCTGTTGCACTCTGTAGTGCAGATTTTTTTAAGGCTGTATTTATCCTTCAAAACTTCCAAACTTGTTCAGGAGACCGTTGCTATGGGAATGAGCTTGCACTGCAGCTTCTGCAATGCTCACCATACTTGCACCTGGAGGAACAGGGGGATGAACAGGTCCGGGCAGAACGGGAGGGGCGTTCAGCTCTCGGCCTACGTGTCTATCTGGATGTGCATGTGTGATAGTAGCTGAGAGGCAGGTGGGGAGCTTGCCTCTCACCTATGAAATAGCGGCGTACAAAAACCTGTGCCATTGAGAAGACAGCAGATGGTCCCCTGCACAGCCTCAGTGTATTGCTCATCCGGGGTAGCTCTCCGCACAGCACTGTATGGGGCTCCCGCGGAGAGCAAAGAACAGCCCTCGCACTTCACCTTCACTGCTGCACATTGTGAATTCTGAAGCAGCCGAGTTACTGCTGGGTGCGTTTTCATCATATGACAGAACTCCAACATTCAGTGTTAAAAGGGTTAATTAAACACTGAAAGTGGTTTCTATTTCCTTTTTTGCTTTAGGTCAAAATGAGTCTGGAGTCGCCGTCCACAATGGTAGAATATATTTAGTTGGCGGCTATTCGATTTGGACAAATGAGCCTTTGGCATGTATCCAGGTGAGTGATTTAGGTTTCTTTTAAAGTCTTTTCCAATAATTTTGCAAGGATACATTTTGCACAGAGGTTATTCAAAAGGGAAAATGCACGTGAAGTGGAGAGATTAAGGATGTTTCTTATGCAGCCATTGAACCTGCATAAACACAGAGAGGAAATACTGTGGATATTAAAAATATTTCCAGGTGAGCCATTTGATCCAATTATTCTAAGCTATTCTAGTAAAACAGGGTTGAGGAGTCTCCTTTGGCAAGGTTTGGGTAAAATAGTGGGTATATATTCTCAGGTTACACAGTCAAGTTCAAAAGTAAAAAGGTTGCAGAAACGGGTGATGGGGGATGATTGGGCTAACAATTTTTCAGCCCGTCTTGTGATTTTTTTTTTTTTCTTCCCCCTTTTTCCAAGTTGTCTTTCTGAAGAGCAGCCAGAGTTAGCGAGTTGTTCTTTGACAAAGTTCAGTCAGCCTGCAACCTGCCCTGGCGCTTGTTGCTTCAAAGCTTGAATGGGAGTTTTTTGATCCCTGCTGTAGGCAATAGGTTGTCCGACAAACTCTTTTGCTCTCTCATCTTGTATAAGAGCAGCTTACCTGCAGATCCATGGCTTTCAGATATTCCTGTACAGAAATTAGAAATTCTTATCTTTCTGCATTTTTCTGAGTGAAGCAAATCGGCATCACAGCCATCACTTTGTGACCAGCTGGGCAGTTAGAGACAGAAACTCTTGTTTACATCTCAGTTTCTGCACTTTTGCTGATAAACAACATTTTCATTAGCTTTCAACTAAGGATTTTAGGATTTTACCTCTAAACTGTCCCATAAGGCTAGAAGTTAGACTTGGCATAAGAAAGGAATGCATTACATGTCGAGCTGCTGGTCGTATAATGAACACTTACTAGCCTGAGTTTGTAAAGAATAGATCATGCAAGGTAAGGAGTTAAAACCATGTTCTGGTTACAGTATAATTTTGTTTTACTAAATTGTTGGATACCATACCTAATGATTTTTATTGGAAAAATTCATTCAGAGTGGCTTCACTAGCTGATACACAGTGCTTCAGATGGAGTAATAGCACAATATCAAGGCGGTGGCTGTACTCCCACCAACACGCTCATTTACAATCAGCAGGTACTTTGCAGTATTGCACCTGGGTTTAGATACTGCTTAGTGATGAGTGAAAATGATCCTGGGATCTTGCTTTCTTAAATGGACATTTGTCCACATCCCCAAACTGGTTGTGAACTGACAGCCTGCCTGAGACAGTCCCCACATTAAAGGGAAAAGAAGTATAACAAGTGTTTTGGCAGAGCTGTGTGCGCTGCCCCTTCTCAGTTGTTGGCAGCGTGCCTGGCTTTAACCAGTAAAACTAGCCCTTTTATCTTCAAATTCAGCAAATTTGAGGTTGCTTTCTCCTTTGGAACAAAAAAATCCACTTTTTCCGTATGTCGTCATTTTCTTTAAGTCATTCATTTATTTGGCCTTTCCAACTTCGATAGAGCTCCCTTGCTCCCTATATACCACCAAGCTGATAAATGATTCATGCTTTGTGGTAACAGTAGCACTTCTGTGCAGAGTACCCTACTTGCATCGTTGCACGTTCTGCCGCCAGGAAGCAGGATCCAATGTCACTGTCTGCTACTGAATGCCTGAGCTAGGATAAGATTTGGGTGATGAGGGCAGCAATAAATCGCCAGATCCATAAATACAACCTAAAAGTGATCTGAAATTACCTTTCTGTTGGGATTAATAGTACATATACGCAGTGTGTGCCAGCAAATTTGTTTCAGCTTTCTTCTGTGATCCCTGAAGTATTTTGTATGCTTTGGCCTGCAGGTGCTGGATGTTAGCAAGGAAGGGAAGGAAGAAGTGTTCTATGGGCCTACGCTCCCCTTCGCTTCCAACGGAATAGCAGCATGCTTTCTTCCAGCTCCTTATTTCACGTGCCCCAACCTTCAGACTCTGCAAGTGCCTCACCACAGGATCGGCACAATGTGAGACACGGAACGTGCACTTCATAAAATCGGAAGTAGAGGGAGGAAAAAAATCAAACCCTGTGTATGGAGGGGTTTCTCTGGATCAGTGAAAAGAACCAATCCACGCGGGCTGCTGCTTTACCTTCACACATCTGTCTTTAAGTCGGATTACAGTAGGCAGGAAGGAAGCTACAAAAACTGTCTGCAGTTTCTCTCCTCTGCCTCAGATGTAGAAGCATACACGTGAGAGCGTTTGGCATTTCTGCTGGTGACTACTTGCTGCCTGTCTCTACTTCATTTCCTTATGCAACTTCGTAAGGCATTGTGAATGCTTTCAGCTCCTCCTGGGCTGCTGCTCTTTGGAGTCTGCACGTTCAGTTGTTCACCAATGGCACTGTCAAAGCTGATAAAAGCTGTGTTTATGTTGACAAAGATGATATAATACTATGGTAATTATGCAACTTACTTGATACCTTTGGCAAAAAGAATAACAAATGTGTTGACTTCCAATTCCAAACTCCATCGTTTACAGTTTCTCATTTAATAATACTTCATTTGAAATTTAAATACTGCAAAGCAGATTAAAACAAAAATAAAAAACAAACAAGCCCTATAGTATAGGAGGAACAGATAAAAATTGTCTCAGCTGAAAGACAAAGACACCGAAGCGTCGTGGTTAAACCCAAGTCTGAACGGAATGTGTTTGAGAATCTAAAGATCATTTGGGATGTCATTTACCAAGGTCTACTATCAAATAAATGTTACCTTCTGTCATATGATCAATTCCTCCTGACAGCTGCAGTCTTTTTTTGGTGGAGAACAGCCTCTTTACTGTATAATTAAAATGTGCCATTTCCTTAATATTTTTAATATCCAGTTTGCAAGGGGTCACCACATTTACAATTATCAACGAACAGTCTCATTTTGTCCAACATATGGTCCCACAAATCACTGGTCTCCAGAGGCTAAACAGGTGTAGAACAATGTCAATATTTATTTATTTATTCTTTCAGTTTATATAGTGTGTCTCTGTTGTGGTTTAACCCCAGCCGGCAACTAAGCACCACACAGCTGCTTGCTCTGTCCCCCCATGGGATGGGGGAGAGAATCAGAAGAGTAAGTGAGAAAACTCGTGGGTTGAGATAAAGACAGTTTAATAGGTAAAGCAAAAGCCGCACACGCAAGCAAAGCAAAACAAGGAATTCATTCACTCCTTCCCATCGGCAGGCAGGTGTTCAGCCATCTCCAGGAAAGCAGGGCTCCATCATGCCTAACGGTTACTTGGGAAGACAAACGCCATCACTGCAAACATCCCCCCCTTCCTCCTTCTTCCCCCAGCTTTATATGCCGAGCATGATGTCATATGGTGTGGAATATCCCTTTGGCCACTTGGGGTCAGCTGTCCCGGCTGTGTCCCCTCCCAACTTCTTGTGCGCCCCCAGCCTACTCGCTGGTGGGGGTGGGGTGAGAAGCAGAAAAGGCCTTGACTGTGTGTAAGCACTGCTCAGCAGTAACGAAAACATCCCTGTGTTATCAACACTGTTTCCAGCACAAATCCAAAACATCGCCCCATACTAGCTACTGTGAAGAAAATAAACTCTATCCCAGCCAAAACCAGCAGAGTCTCCATTCCATACTCCAGGCATACGCCAGTTCACAATAAATACTCTAACCTGTTATATTTTGGCTTTGCTTGGCTACTGCAGCCCCTGTCTCTTATTTCCGTCTTTTATTTCCGTATCTACAACAACTTCAGTGTTTGTAAATATTAACCAAGCATGTAATTAAATCTTTCTCTATTTATGATTTACGGGTACTCTGCACTTCTCTGCTTTACCTACTGATCTGTTCCCTGCCACCGTGCTATCTGAGCAGACCTATGAAATTTCTACTGACGCTCATGCAAATGCCACGTGCAGAATATGCCGCAGCAATAGCTGCACTTGCTGGACAGGAACAGGTTTGACTTCGTCCAGTGAGCAGTGTTTCCAAATCAAATGCATTTTTTAACTTTGAAGGATCTGGTTAGTGATACAGCGTGGTGAACTTTATCACCAGTTCCGTCTGTAGCTGGGCAGTGTACTCACGGAACATCACCTTTTCCAGTAATTTTCAGGTTAGAAAGTTTTGTGGGTTTTTTTGCTGAGCTTTCTCACTCTCGTTGCACAGAGCAGAGCTGCAGCTGCGGAGTCTTCATCTGGCACACTAAGTGGAGTGCTGCCAATGTCTCCCTCTGCACACAAAGCAAGCCTACATCCAGGCAGTACTTTTCTCTAACTGCATGGGAGCTGTACAGGCTGTGCATCGGGGAATTTTTTTTTTTGTTTGAATTCCTTTGATCTCCTGGAAATCAGCATGCAAGGGCCAGCTCTCCTAACAGGCCATTTACACTTTAAATATCTGACTGCTGCCCTGCGTGGGCTGCAGGGCCCAAGCCTGGCAAGTATTCGACGTTCTACTTATGCGTGATTTGCAGGGACACAAATGTTACATGTCTTGTTTTCAAGAGGAGAGTGGCTAAATAATCAAAACGTGTGTGTAGAGATCCTTGGGGCTTTGAGCCCCATCCTGGAGGTACCACACCAGGTGAGTGATCAGCTTTCGCTGCAGGTGCAGAACTGACATATACTTGCTATTTCCCAGGTGGTGGGTGAACTAATTTCTTAGCCTTTGTAAAGCCCGGTGTGCTTCCAGACAGTAGTGCAAAGTATGCTTTGTATGTCTCAACTTAGTTTTAGGCTTTTATTCCTAGGCCTCATCGTTTACCACAGCTGTAGCTATGAAATAATTTCTAAACTGCTCCTTCTGGAGAGCGAGGGATTAAGATGGAGCTGGCTGGCTATCGAGCGGCGGCAGCAAGCTCTGACAGAGGCCCAGGTTTGAGAAGCAGAGGGGGCAGCTTCCTTATGCAAAGCAGTACGTGCCTCTTGGTTCAGGGACTGAAAGGCAGGACTGTATGGCAAGAAAGTTATTTATCATGTTTGTTCTGCCCTTTCGACACTTTTACTGTTCCGGTTGTTATCACTGATTGTCTGTACTGGTGAATAGCAGTTTTAAACAGCTGTGCAATTGCATTAAATCAGTTAAGGGTACCACAGCCACAGAGCCTCAGGACAACACATATGCTCCTATTAGTGTCAGGATTCTGCTCTGGCAGAAATCATCAGGCTCCAGCGATTATGGAGAAGTCTTTCATGGCAACCTCTTAGCCCCTAAGTTTCTGTGCCACACTTTCCTATCTGGGTCTTTTTGCTTTTGTTGCAGGACCTAAAGGACAGATGGGGGTGCTTTGCTGCACCCGAAGTCAGAAAATGCCACATAGCCCCTGCCAGGTGAGCAAAACCCATTTATTTATTGTCAGGTAAGAAAAGAGAACGGTGTCAATGCAAGAGCGGGCAGAGAGCACGCTGGTGCCAGCAGCGGCTCCGCTCCGGCTGAGGGGGCT